GGTGGTGGGTGGTGGTGGTGGTGGTGGTGGTGTGGTGGTGGTGGTGGTGGTGGAGGTGGTGGTGGTGGTGGTGGTGGTGGCGGTGGTGGCGGTGTCGCCCACCCAATGGTCCGATCGACCACCCATATTATTGGGCCTCGCACTTCGGTAAGCGAGAAGGACAAGCAAAGTACACATCAAATGAAAAACGGATCCGCGTTTTTCGAAGATGTTGCTAATTCAGAAAACTGCTTTTTGAAAGACGGGAAGCAAGAGGCGGGGGCAAGCGAGAGCGAGAGGCCTAGAGAAACATCATTGACAACAAAAACAGCCGCGGAATCCCTTATGCCCATAAGTTCCGAGAGTCCACTCGAAAGTCGACTGTAAAGACATAGACGGCGTTTGCAAGAGGCACATCGCATGCGAAAACAAGGCACAGCATGTAAGGAAGGCAAACGGCCGAGACCCCAGAAGTACGGCTGGCCAAAATAGGCAGGCGCACGTAAGGGCAGCACTCGCCTGACGTACAGCACAATGCAACGGCCACGGTACAACACGGACGAAACAGGCATGTGTGCGTTCATGCGCACATACACACCTATAGATGTGTATATACATATGTATATATAGGTTGGTCGCCGGAGCGAGAGAGAACCTCTTCCATTAAAAGCTAGGCGGGCTACGCACAGCTCTATTTGGTAGATGTGTATATACATGTCAGTCTACGCATGCGCATAATCTTGTGTGTATATTTGCATATATATATATATATATATATATATATATATATATATATAATATGTGCATATATATATGTTCGCCAAGGATTTGTAGTCTCAAGAACAGCACTTCACGGCAGCACACAGATGCCAGGATAGGCCTCGCGAGTGCGCGGGCGGCCTCTAGGCAGGCAAAAGTGCGAGGACGTGGGAGTGACCGCTACGCAGGGCGTCTATGCCGGCCACGTTGTATCACATCACAGATTTATTCATCAACGACTGGCAGTCAAAAGTGAACTAAGCTGTGAAGACGGCTCCAATAGCGGGTGCACGGCGTGCTGCCCACGCAGAGTGCCGCGGCAGGCAAAACAGAGCAAATCGTCGTAACAAATCTGCGCTGCGACACTGGAGAAGACCGCGGTCGGGACGCCTCTCAAGTGCAACGCCAAAGGAGCAGGGAGCTAAAAACGATCGCGCGCGGCCAACCTCCAACCACATGCGGTTCTAAAGGTGACAACACACGATGCAGAAAAAATGCGGCAATCGTCGCAACGCCCCCTTGGCGTTGGACGGGGTGTTGGCGCGCGCTCCACCCGCAACCACAGTCGGCTCTATAGGTGGGGGCGGCGCACACATCCGAAGCTGAATTAGTCCAAGGCGCCTAATGTGCCCTGGTACGCCTGTCGCATGTCCTCTAACGCCTTGGGGAGGCCCACCACGAAGAAGACCGTCGAGTTGGGGTCCATGCTCCTCACGGCGTCCCCGACGAGAACAGATTGGTCCTCAACGATGTGGGTGTCTCCGCTAGGCATCTTGCTCATCATCCACGCCCCCAGTTTCTTGGGCGGCTTCGCTGAGATAGCGCGTCTGCGCCACACGTGCTTGGCCACCCATGCAACCGTGTGGTACTCCTGCAGCGTGACGGTGACAGAAACGGCATCATGGCTGTCATCGGCAATCACCAATGCGGGCAGCGGGAACCGTGTGTGTTCCGTTATGCACTGGACGAGGGCCCCCGCGGGCGTGGGACACCACGCATACTGCTCCTCATCCGCATCGTTGGAGCCCCCTGCTGGGCTTCCACTCCGGCCAGCATCGTCACGAAAGCTGGGGAAGGAAGTCGTGCGGGAGGGTCTAGGCTGGCGCCCGGGGTCTCTGCGAGGCAATCCACTTCGCGGAGCCTATCGGTCTGTGGCGCCGCGGCGGCGTGCTCGGCTGGAGCGGTCGGGGCCGCGGCGGCGGGTGCAGAGGCAGGCGAGGTCCCAGGGGCCTCGGTGCACCCGAGGGGGTCACCGCTGCTGTCGGCGTCCATCGCGGGGGGTCCGCCAGGGCGCGTGCCGGGGACGGCTGAGGCCGACTCGATGTCGCCTCCGCCCTGCCGGGGGCCCTGGACTCCGCCGGCGGGGCCCTCGTGCCCCTCATCGCTATCGGCCGCGACAACGGGCGACGGGGCCTCTGAAGCGGTTCGCGGGGCCGGGCCGCTATGCCAGCCCCGTCGGCTCGCGGGGCTGGGCCGCCGCTTCCGGCATCGCCAGGTCGACCTCCGGGAGCCTCGGCTGCGCCCTGGGGTCCTGCTGCGTCCCTGTCGGCGTCGCCGACGCAGGGCTGCGCGATCGGGATCGGCTCGTAGCACGGCCCCCGGTTGTAGGTGCCGCACGTGTTGGGGGCGGACTCGGAGATGGAGGCCTCGCAAAACTCTCCCGTTGGAGCTGAAGGTCCTGTAGCTCGCGCTGCAGCACGCGCGTCCGGTCCGGGTCCACGGACTGGTCCAGGCGAAGCGTCCCCAGCTGGATCTGGCGAGCAAGGTGGGCCAGTGCAGTGGGAGGTCCCATGGACTACTGGCAGGGGCCCCAGCCACACTGCGAAGCCGTCGGGGACCCAGATGTTGACCCAGCGCCCAGGCGGCGCCGCGGCGGACTGCGCCGTCGCCGCGTGCGCAGGAAAGCGCCGGCGCGCCTCCTGCAGGCTACCGGCGCCGGGGCAGCAGCCTGCGGGCCTCAGCAGCCG